TATCAACCAAATACAAGTTAGCACAAAAGAAAAGACACAATCAAATTAACAAATAACAAATACTAGTGCGATCAAATCAAGTTAAATTCAAATTGCGCAAATACAATTACTACTCTTTAGTTCAAATACAAATTACAATACAACGAAGATACACATCACGGTCGATCAACAAAAAATGCCTAGCTCGGAAATCGACCCTTCGATAAGTAATCCACTACAACTATCCGACAACGATAATTAACCGATTACGTAAAAATAACCATCTACCTACATGACGTATATCTCTAGAAAAACTCCCGCTTGCGCAACCGAGGGCGTGGCTTTACAAACTACCCACTAACCAAAAAAAAGGCAAGCAACAAAGGAAAATAATTTTATTATTACGTACAAAAAATATTTTTACGTATTACGGACGGGTGTGATTGTAGATACAAATTAAACCAATCAAACCAACGCTACCTGCCACCAGAATTGTTTAATTTTTATCAAATACTATGCTCGGGATCGACCGGGGAATCGAACCCGGAACCACGCTCTGCTACCAGATTGTACACGCTCCTAGCTGCCCCAATCAAGGATGACGGGATTAGGGCCCATGAGTAATCCCATCGACGAGGAGCAGAGGGACGGGGCCAGAATATGGCCACGTGGAATTTCTCTAATTACACTAAAATATATGGGGGAGCGTTCTATACTACGGCCAGTCGACCGGCAGAGGAATCTGACGGAGCTTACTTACCTATATCCAAGGTGCCTGGTCCCTCCGGAGTCGGTCTGGTCGTATGTGTTTGTGTAGTGCAAGGGAAATAAGGTGATGTGATGTGTATCTGGGTGTGACTGATGGTGATTGAACCTAGACCTTGGCCGTCGGCAGCAGCTCGAGCGTCGACACCGCTCCAACTTGAGGGGGGCTTCCGAGGCGTTGTCCACAGTCACTTTCCTCGTTCGTCACGATTAACTAACTTACAGAAGCCACTAACTATCGCTGGGTATAAGGTTAACGCACAAAACGCACACGGAGTTTACGGATCAAAGGTCACTACCGTTTCGCGTAGCAACAGTTAGTTCTAGAATATCAACGGCCGCACTAGCTAATATTGCACTTATGCAGATTCTGAGTCAGACACAATAAGTCCCTGGGAAGCTCTCCAGCTAGGAATACGCGTCACAAATCCTAGACCGTATATTTACGTCCGCGCCTAATTATTCCGAGTTCCCGACAAAAATTGACAGCGTGCAGACATTAGCACAGCTAGCAGACGTCTCTGCCTTTTCGCTCGCGACCCGCGCGCCATTGCCACGCTCGGCCGAATTTCAACCGGTATCGCGCCGAGCCGCGTGACATCTGGCGTCGATTCTTGACAGCGTTTGGCGCGAACAGGTGTTCTATACTTATAATTCGGTAAAAAGTATCTAAGTAGGTAACTAATAATTCTTAAAACTAAATTTAAGTAAAAAGACTAAACTGACCATTTATTTTTTAACTCAGAACAGGACATGGGCTTATTTATACTCTAAAAACTATAACTTTATACAATTAGTGTTCACTATAAAATTATATTCGGTATAGACGGTAATTATTAAATGCAACATTTTTTTTAAATTATTAATTACATTTGTCAGTGGATTAAATTTGCTTTAATAAAGTTGGTGATGATTTTAAATAAGAATAAAATTCTGCTCAAGTTTTTTTTATTGTTATCTTTGTTAACAACATCGCCTTTAGAACTGGAACCGTAAGTGTTTCTTTCAGACGTCCACAATTTATTCAAAATAAAAAAATACTCTTTCTACCGGAGCATTTGTATTTTGTACCAGGTAGACATAAAATATATTCGATTAAAAAAAATTATGTTGAAGATTGTTGACTTTTAATACTTCCATCCAACGAGTTACGGGACAATTTTGTGTCCCGGAGCTTTGTTTGGGGACAATGGGACAGGTGACCGAGAAAAGGGACAGTCCCGTTCAAAACGTCATTCCGTCCGCAACAAGCGTTGAGAGTGGTACCCTGTATTAACGACTTCCTTAAAAATCTAATTGTATGTACACAAAAATCGATCATAGTGCGATATTTATTAGTGTCGTGATTACTGTACTAAGATTGTAGTCCATTCTAGTGGATCTAGTGAGAAACAATAAATCAGCAATTGCCGTCTCGTTCTTACATAGCATCGTCGGACTGTGGCAGTGCGGGAACCTCACCTCCTCACCGGTAGGCGTAAGGACAGCGCTATATTTTTTAACTCTCTCACACTTGTGTAACTACAATATACCTGCACACTACGATGTCTTTACAACGCACACCACCGAATGTGTTTTCATCGGACGGTGATATACCTGCATCGGTAAAGAAGATTAGCGGCGAAAGTTTTATAACTACCCGTAAACGTAAACAAATTGAAAACGATAAAATTGATACAAATATGATTAAATTTGAAGAAAAATTTGATAGTCAAATGCAAATATGGAATAAAACCATTAGCGATTGCATCGCAAATAGCATTGCCTATTTGCGATCTATCAAAGATTACCTCTGCGTTATCAGAACTTAATGATAATGTGTTGAAACTTAACACGGATGCTATCAACCTTAATAAATCAGTGAACGAAGTTAACACCCGACTGTGCGAAATAGAGAAATCACTTAGCTTCTCGAATGAACGACAGGACTTATTTGACAGTCGACTGAAAACTGTAGAACAGAACATATCACAATATAATGGCTTTAAAAGTCAAATACAACTACTTGAGAACAAAATACATACTATGGAACAGCAAGCAAGACAGTGCAATGTCGAAATAGTTAATATCCCCGACAGGCGAGGTGAGAATCTAATCAGCATAATTGAGTGTTTGGGTGATGCTATTAAGCATCCTTTACAATCATCCGACATAATAGCCGTTCATCGTCATGCTGACAAAAATGATCGACGTCCGAAGAATGTTATAGTAAAGTTCGCAAACAGGACACTGCGCGACAATGTGATTGCCGCCTGCCGTGCTACGAAAGGGTTGAATTCGACATCATTGTCCGTACCTGGCCGGCCTGCCACCGTTTACGTTAACGAGCATTTAACGTTGAATAACAAATTGTTGTTTCGTCAGTGCCGGGAGGCTGCTAAGAAAAACGAGTATAAATATGTTTGGGTTAAACATGGCACCGTTCTGGCTCGCAAGACGGATACTTCACCCGCTATCGCAATCAGATCCCTCCAGGACATCACACGAATCAAATGAACAACACCCGGATGACAATAGGCAGCATTGCAACGTCATAAACAGGTTTAAAAATAAATTATTTACGGCTACATATGTAAATATAACCAATTTTTATCATTATATTATGTGTCACAAGAAAATATATCTTCTCAAATGGTTAAGTCAACGTTCGTTATTATAAGTAATCACACTTTTATAAGTAAATATTGTTATTACAATAGACTAAATACATGTGGTATAATTTCTTTGTACCTTCGTCTCTCAGACTTAAAGTGCTCTCTTTTAAATTTAATTAATATCCTATTAGTATTATATGGAAGACATACACTTTGGTTAAATTTTTACATATCTGATCTGCTTAATTACTCTTCCAAAACTCTAATTACTGTTATTATTTCCAATCATAATACTCATGGCATAACATTAATATCTGTTCAGGTACGTATAATTGCTTTTTATCTGTTTTTGTCACCGATATTTAATTTAATCAATAAACAAAGTTCATGTTTTTACAATTCAACGTGTGCATTTATACTGACCACATACATACCCTTCGGCAAATTGTACAGAAGTCCGAGGAGTACAATTTGCCACTATGTATGGCGTATGTGGACTATGAGAAAGCCTTTGATTCCGTCGAAATTTGGGCGGTGCTGCAGTCCCTTCAGCTATGCCAAGTTGACTGTCGGTATATCGAGGTGTTGAAGTGCTTGTACAGTAGGGCTACGATGACGTCATATCCCCGAAACTCTTCACTGCTGCATTGGAAGATGTTTTCAAGCTTCTGGACTGGAAAGGATACGGTATCAACATCAATGGCGAGTACATCACTCACCTTCGATTTGCCGACGATATAGTCCTTATGGCAGAATCGCTGGAGGACCTAAGCACTATGCTCAATGACCTCAATAGTGTTTCCCAACGGATAGGTCTTAAGATGAACATGGACAAAACAAAGATCATGTTTAATGTCCATGTCACACCTATGCCGGTAGTTGTTGGGAACACTAAGCTCGAAGTTGTTGACGAGTATGTATACCTGGGACAAATAGTCCGACTAGGTAAGTCCAACTTCGACCGAGAGGTCAATCGACGGATTCAACTCGGTTGGGCAGCTTTCGGGAAATTACGGCACATCTTCTCGTCAGGTATACCTCAAAACTTGAAAACGAGACCGTACACCCAGTGCGTGTTGCCAGTGATGACATACGGAACTGAGACGTGGTCCTTCACTGCTGGCCGGATGAGGAAGCTCAAGGTCGCTCAGCGAGCTATAGAGAGGGCTATGCTCGGAGTTTCTCTACGTGATAAACTCAGAAATGAGGATATCCGCAGTAGAACCAGAGTGACCGACATAGCCCAACGGATTAGTAAGCTGAAGTGGCAATTGGCCGGCCATATAGCTCGAAGAACCGACAACCGATGGGGAAGAAGGGTTCTCGAGTGGCAGCCTCGTACCGGCAGGCGAATTGTGGGGCGTCCCCCCACTAGATGGAGTGACGACCTGGTAAGATATGCAGGAAGTCGATGGATGCAGGTGGCTCAGGACCGTGCTTTGTGGCATTCTTTGGGGGAGGCCTATGTTCAGCAGTGGACTTGTGAAGGGCTGTAATGATGATTTATACTGAATATCCTACTCTGTAACCACTGTGGCTCTAATGATTTGTATGCAATACCATATAGTTTTCGATACAAAATTCAATAACATAAATAACAATGTATTATCAGTCTACTATCAAAATTGCCGCGGTTTGAGAACTAAATTAAATACTATTTACATGAACATATTATCGCATAATTATGATGTTATAATATTAACCGAGACTTGGTTACATGATTGCATTGTAAACAGTGAATTTGTGGATTCCCGCTACAGCGTGTTCCGTTGCGACCGAGATCGCGCTGTAACAAAGCGTCACGATGGTGGCGGGGTGTTGGTGGCTGTATTACGCTCGCTGCGTGCAGTGCGCTGCGTGCTCGCACTTCCCGCTGTCCCCCTCGATATCCCACCCATCATAGATCATATTCTACTAGAATTTCACATCGGTAAGTCTTATTATTTATTAAGCGCGAATTACATACCACCCGGTCTAGATTCTGATATATATTTTAATTATTTTAATAAACTAGAAGAGATAATACAGTTAAATGGATATGATAACTATTATTTAATTGGCGATTTCAATTTGCCTTGTCTTGACTGGTATCTAGATGGAACTCAAGCAAAACTTCTAGGTTTAAGCAATACTACGCCACCATATTCTCACTTAGTAAATTTCATGTCCGTCATGGACTGTATACAAGTGAATATTTTTAAAAATAATATGAATAGGTTACTCGATTTATGCCTAACTAATGTACACAATAGTAAAACATTCTCTGCGCCTATCACTCTAGTCCCGCCTGACGTACATCATCCTCCTTATTACCTCTTAATACCAATTGATAATAACCTATCCAAACCTATGCCAACGAATCCACGTTTAAGATATTGTTACAAGAATGCTAATTATAAACAAATCAGTAACGATATGTTAGAAATTAATTGGTGTGAACTATTTCAAAATAAAACTGCCGAAGAAAGTGTTAACGTTTTCTATGAAAATATATTTGATCTTATACGTAAACGCGTTCCCTCTAAACGGGATTCCAATTCAAAATTTCCAGTATGGTTTAGCCCTGCATTGATACACATATTTAAGAATAAAAACAAAGCTTGGATTAAGGCGCAGGTTGAGCAAAATGTCGCGCTAGTCGTTATTTGTGCGGTTTTTAGGAGCTATCTACTTTTTATTTAAAAGATATATCAACAAATAAAAAACACATTATATTTCTACATAATCTTGATTCCATAAAAGCTATATCCAATTTTTTTTTAAACGAATAAATGTTAATATAATCTCCTTCCAACGAAACCACATAAATGTGAAATTATTATTGATAACATGAATCTCCTCGTAAAGTAAGTATTATTTTATTTTGCGTTTTACACCAATGGATAGGCAATTTATTAATGAACATTTCTATAGTAAAATTTTTTTCAAAAGTCCAAAATTTGATTTTATTAAGAAATTATTTTAAAATCTGGGCGTATTTACTGCCCACGGGCTTGCTGGAGTCAGTGAGCCCTGAGCTCTTACACGTGGAACCCGTGTCGTTAGAGCGTCTGCCAGCGCACACGCGCATAATATTATAATATTATTACTTATTAGGTTATTTATAGGTAGTATTATTTGTTTGTTTTGGGTATAATTTTTCGTATTACTTATACATATATTTGTTGTGTTTTTTACTGCGCGATGAAGCTTTTTGCGTGTATTTTCTTTGAAGTAAATGCAAATAAAAAATTAAGCACCATTAGCATGTAAGGTTCAAATCCATAATTAAAATTTCGACAAATATTATAATTTACACTATAAAAGGCTAATTCAATATTATCACCCAACCACAACTTATTAGATATAGTACTGCCTCGTTGGTCTAGTGGTTGTAGTAGTGCGACTGCTGATCATGAGGTCCCGGGTTCGAATCCTGGGTCGGGCCAAAAAGTCAGTTATGAGTTTTTCATTTATGTTCTAAGTTATAATTAGTATTACTAAGTTATAGTTTTTTGTTAAAATATAGTATATTATTTATTGCTTGTTTTTTTCTTCTTTTTCAAAAAATAATTGAGTACATAAGGTGTTCTATACTTATAATTCGGTAAAAAGTATCTAAGTAGGTACTAATATACCTACTTTTTACTATTAACTAAAAATTTTTAAAACTAAATTTAACTAAAAAGACTAAACTGACCATTTATTTTTTAACTCAAAACAGGACAAGGGTTTATTTATACTCTAAAAACTATAACTTTATACAATTAGTGTTCACTGTAAAATTATATACGGTATAGACGGTAATTATTAAATGCAACATATTTTTTTAATTATTAATTACATTTGTCAGTGGATTAAATTTTCTTTAATAAAGTTGGTGATGATTTTAAATAAAAATAAAATTCTGCTCAAGTTTTTTTATTGTTATCTTTGTTAACAACATCGCCTTTAGAACCCTGGACCCGTAAGTGTTTCTTTCAGACGTCCACAATCTATTCAAAATAAAAAAAATACTCTTTCTACCGGAGCATTCGTACCAGGCAGACATAAAATATATTCGATTAAAAAAAATTATGTTGAAGATTGTTGACTTTGAATACTTCCATCCAACGAGTTACGGGACAATTTTGTGTCCCGGAGCTTTGTTTGGGGACAATGGGACAGGTGACCGAGAAAAGGGACAGTCTCGTTCAAAACGGGACGTATGGTCAATTTAGCTATAACCCGGCGACGGTTCCGTGGCGCAGTGGCTATGCAATCAGTTGTAGCGCTGGGGGCCGCGGGTTCTAATCCCGCACGGAACAAGTATTTGTATGGCCTATAAATAATTGTTCCAGGTCTGGATGTTTGTCCTTGTGCAATTTATGTTTGTAAACTGCCTCCAAGACACAGGAGAAAACCCTAGTGTGGGGGTAACGTTTTTTTACAATTGAAAGATTGAACCCTTATACTTCTTGTTGATTTTTGTATTACCTTTATTAAAGTTACCCTTATGTATAAATAAATATAATTACGTATGTAGAAATAAAATTGATTTTCATCCTCATCAATCATTGGGGTGAGGATAATGTCTGCCAGCATAAATAATATATGAAAATACATAATTCTAATATAATGCAACTAATATATACCGAATAAAAAAAATTAAAATACATTTATCTTTGTACGCTGTGTCTATTTCCATAAAATAGTTTATTGATGTTGAAAAAATAATACTACGTTATATTGTAGCGAGCGGCGCGCCGGTCAAATGCTCAAGGCCGTTTGCAGGAGTAGCCCCTTAAGTGGAAAATATATAAAAACAAATCCGATTATTCTACATTTTCAATGTATCGGGATAGGTTTAGGAAAGAATCATTGATTTGTTACAACAAATATATGGAATCAGTAGAAGACAGTATTCCAAAAAATATTAAATACTATTGGATTTACATAAAAAATCGTCAAAATCAATCAGATATCCCAAATAGTGTTCACTATGACGGAACTAAGGCGGATAGTCCTGAAGGCATTTGTAACCTGTTTTCTTCCTTCTTTCATTCAGTTCTCCAGCCTACTGATGTATCTGACTCCTTCTGTATTGACCATATAGATGATATAGACAATGGTATGCTTAATGACACTATTATTAATGACATACACCTATCAGAAGCAGATGTCTTAAAAGAACTAAAGGCACTAGATATTACTAAAAGCGCAGGCCTTGATAACATTCCCCCTATTTTCATTAAAAATACTGCCATAACCATATGTAAACCGTTGGTCATATTATATAATAAATGTCTAACAGAGGGTATATTTCCAGCTGTGTGGAAATCAGCGAGGATAACACCAATACATAAAGGAGGCATAAAAAGAGATGTAGTCAACTATCGTCGAATTTCAATCCTTCCCACTTTATCTAAACTTATGGAGAGACTGGTGCATAATAATATCTATCCACTATTGCATAGGACTATCCTTCCGCAGCAACATGGGTTTGTTCGTAAACGGTCTACTATCACTAATCTTATTGTTTATACTTCTGAATTGTTTGACAATATAGACACTAATACGCAAACCGATAGTGTCTATACAGATTTTCGGAAAGCGTTTGACCGAGTGGATCATATAATACTGCTAGAAAAACTTGCTTTCAACGGGATTCGCGGAAATCTTTGGAGGTGGTTTAAGTCGTATATAACAAACAGAACACAAAAAGTGGTCATCAATGGATATGAATCAAGTACGGTTGTTATAACATCTGGTGTGCCACAAGGATCTATCCTTGGCCCCCTGTTATTCATTCTGTTTATTAATGATAAAATAATTGCTTTCAGCATTGTAATTTCTTATTATATGCAGATGACCTAAAAATTTATCGAACTATACATAATTCTAATGATCACCGCGAGTTCCAGGAGGACCTGAATAGATGTAACAATTACTGTAGCATTAACAAACTACAACTAAGTCTCGATAAATGTAAAGTTATTACATTTACAAGAAAACGAGCGTGGAGTCCACATAATTATTCCATAGGCGGCCACAATCTCACCAGAGTACAAACTATTCGCGATCTTGTAGTCACATGTTGATAACATATGTAGTAGGGCTTATAAAATGTATGGTTTTGTACTCCGAGCCAGTAATGACTTCGTACGTCCTAATATATATTTACATATTTATAAGACCATAATCCGTTCACAGTTAGAATATGCTGCTTGTATTTGGGATCCTTTGTATATAAAATACTCAGATAGTTTAGAAAGAGTGCAAAAGAAATTTCTGCGTTGTATGCACTATAAATGCTGTCAAAACTATCAATCATACTACCAGCTATTGCAAAGATATAAACTCTTAAACTTGAAGTCTAGGAGAATTCAAATGCAAACCATGTTTTTGTATGAAATTTGCCATAACAGGTACGACTGCTCTGATATTGTCAATAATATTAACTATAGAGTGCCTACTAAGTCGTACATGCGAGCCTGTCGTTTGAAACACCTATTTGCCACACGAAAATCACGCACTAACGCAGGCATGCGTGCACCTATACGTCGTATACTAAATTCTTATAACCGTAATTTCAGTCATATTGATATTTTTGTAAATAGTGTAAGCGTTTACAGAAACTTAGTAATTAAGGAACTGCATGACACTGTACACTACACACAACAGTGAAAAATATACATATGAATAAAACTCTCAACCTGTAAAAATAATTTGTTCATAATGCTCGTGGTTTACCACGGTGTGGATGTCACAATTGTCAATAATATATAAGTTAACACTATTATAACCATTTGTTATTGTGATGTTGTTTGTTTACCCAATAAATTGAAAAAAAAAACGGGACGTATGGTCACTTTAGCTATAACCCGGCGACGGCTCCGTGGCGCAGTGGCTTAGCAATAAGTTGTTGCGCTGGGGGCCGCGGGTTCGAATCCCGCACGGAACAAGTATTTGTATGGTCTACAAATAATTGTTCCGGGTCTGGATGTTTGTCCTTGTGCAATTTATGTTTGTAAACTGCCTCCACGACACAGGAGAAAATCCTAGTGTGGGGGTAACGTTTTTTTACAATTGAAATTGAAAGATTGAACACTTATACTTCTTGTTGATTTTTGTATTACCTTTATTAAAGTTATCCTTATGTATAAATAAATATAATTACGTATGTAGAAATAAAATTGATTTTCAACCTCATCAATCATTGGGGTGAGGATAATGTCTGCCAGCATAAGTAATAAGCAGTCTAAGTTACAAGGTGTTCAGTTCAAAAATTAGTAGGTAGGTATGTTACTTTTAAATACGTGACACGTAAAAATTAACAATAATCAAAAACACATCTGCGAAACATCCTATTTATTTATTTATTCTTTATTGTACCAAATATTTATACAAAAGGCGAGTTATCTATTTATTTACCTATAGTGAATAGGTATCTTTTAAACTCACAATTTTCAATGCTTCATTTTTAATATATAATTAATTATAAAATATCATAATTAGATAATATATGAAAATACATAATTCTAATATAATGCAACTAATATATACCGAATAAAAAAATTAAAATACATTTATCTTTGTACGCTGTGTCTATTTCCATAAAATAGTTTATTGATATTGAAAAAATAATACTACGTTATATTGTAGCGAGCGGCGCGCCGGTCAAATGCTCAAGGCCGTTTGCAGGAGTAGCCCCTTAAGTGGAA